TAATCTGCCACCGGCAGATGGAGTGAACGATGAAGGTCAAATTTGGAGCCAAAATAGATTTAAAATAAAAAAATTGAAAATTTTAGGTAAAATTGTCTTTTTATCTAACATCTCCAGAGAAGATAAGTTGTATCGCTTAGCTTTGGAGTCCACTTAGAAGGGTCGTACAGTGTCTTGCCTTCAGGTCGATGTCCAGTGGTTCGATCGGCTTTGCTGGTCGAACAGCAAATATCAATGAACTGGGAGCCGTTTGATACAGTATTAGGAACTGAAAGAGAAGTTCGCTTTTCCATACGACTTCTAAAGGGCACGTTTGAATGTATTCACAAAGCATTCCGCTTGGATTGCAGGTGATATGGCGGTGAATGGAGTTGGCGGAGTTGCAAGCGACTGCAGAAGTCACCGAACTGTGCCGAGGTGAATTGTCATTAATTATTGGACACCACTTCTGTAGGAAGGCTATGCTGAGCAAAAACTCGCTGGGGTGCTGCGATGGCGGTGGGTGAAGTAGCGGTTTCCAGAGCGATCACTTTTGGCCATTTGGAGAAGGCGTCAACGACGATTAGGCAATAGTGTCAGTTGATTTGTCCGGCGTAATCAATGTGGATGTGAGACAGGGTAGCGTCGACTAAGGTGTTGGTGGTTGTTGTAGTGGGAATTCCGCGGCTTCTTAGCAGCGAGAGCGCGGACTGAAAGTCTACTTTACTTCAGTGTCCATTGCGGGCCAGTATGCGTAGCCTAGTTAGTGACTGCATTCTGGACATGCCGGGATACCCAGAGTGGAAGTGGCAGAGAACAAGGCGGTGAAGTGACATAGGAGCGACCACAACGCATGATGCAGTCATAAATGATAGATAGAAAATTACAACTTCTGAAGGAATATTTGAGATGACCGGAAGTGCTTTTCCATGGCCAGCATGTGTTGATTCATTTCATCACTTTTTGGAGCAATAGTCTAGATTGATTTCGCGACGGATCTCCAAGGCATTGACTGGGATACCTCTGATATTATTTGATAGTTATCACTGAACGTCATTGTCGACATGAACGGATACCATAACGTTATCTTCGTTTGGCTACCAATGAGGTGGGATAATTCGTCCACTTATCCGAAGTCTGTCTGTGTGACGATATTGGCATCAAAATCGTATCCCAGTAGTAATGAGGCCAAGAGTTTGAGTCGGTTAGCTGAGTGTTCTGAGATGCCCTTTCTTGAGCCGAAGATAGTGTGGTGATCCAGACTTTCGTGACCGCAATCCATGCACGACTAGGTACAGTTTCACGTCATCCAATCACCGTTCACGAAGCTCAACCAATGGTACGTCGGGCGAACGTGACATCCGAGTTAGCACATATGATACGTCGGTGCAAACGGTTACATGTTTAGAGGATGCTCGTTCAACCAATGATATGGACTATTACATTCTATAAAACGTGATCTAATTTCATCAATAAAAATAAGCATTTGCTGCTATCAATTCCTCGTATATTTCATTGGTGTCCGCAGTTCGGGTTGGAGCCAATTCAGTTCTGAGCAGTACAGTACGGATTCTCGTATTCCTCAGCTCAAAACTATTCCGACTACCACAGATAGACAATAACGATTTGTAGTTCGTGAAGAGCGTGAAGCGCCTGCCGAATAGGAAGTTATGAAACTTCTTACTGGTGAACAAGATGGCCAGCGCCTCCTTCGCCAACTGTCATTAGATCTTCTCCGCGACTAAAAATGTGTGAGACGCATGGATAATGACTTCGCAGATCCATCCGAGAATGTGTGCGCGATGACCGCTCCGACCGGACAAATCTAGTATGGTGTGGATATTTTGTTGGTGTGGCCGGCGACCGGTTGCGTCGAAGATCAAACCCAGGTCTTTGATAGAATGTTAGAAAAACTGGCACTTCTCGGATCGCAGCTTGATTCTGGTGGACGAAATAAGCCATGACTGATAGATCGGTAATCATGGAGTCCATTATCTTCTGGAATATTGCGCGTGACGTTTTTACGCCAAAGAACAGTCTTGTATATTGGTAGAGACGTCGATATATGGGCAACCAAAAGACAGCAACCAAAACCGGCGCACGAAAGTGCATCGTTAATGGTTGTAAAAACTGAAACTGAAAATCGATATATGTTAATCGTGAGCAGTTCTCTGGAATCAGAGGTAACTTTGATCTGGAAGTAGGCATCGGCCAAGTCAAATTTGGCAAGGTATTTTCCGCATGATAGTCAGATAAATTTGTCTCGAAGTGTGGACAATGGGTAGCAGTTTGTCTGTAGTGGTGCATTCAACCTAGTCGAGAAATCCGCTCAAATGCTTATCATTCCCCTTGATTTTTTACGACAACGATAGGGGCTGTTGATTTGGAGAGTATGACTGGGATCAGGATACGTGATTTTCGCAACCGCTGGAGTTCCTTTTGGATCAAGGGTAAATTGGCATATGGTACGGGACGCTTGGGTCGGATGACTGAGGTCGTGTTTGTTAGTAGTTGCAACGACGCTCGTTCACAATTGCAGAGGCCAAGGTCCTATTCGAACGCATCGGTGAAACGTGTGTTGATGTGCCGCGACAGTTCATTGCATTGGACGACACAAGGAATTGCTGGGCATTTCCATTGGCCCTAATTGTTCCAGCTAATCAATTCCAATCAGGTTGAGGGTGGTATGTGTCACATAATAACCTGTGCCGATCGATTCTTCGTTGACTGCCACATTGCAGACTACTCACCCGAGTTCCAACACAATCACTGGCGACAGATTTCCTCGCTGGGTGGATCGTAGGGCCTAATGTTCACCATAGACGACTCGCTGTGATGGTTATATTCAAGGTTGTGTCGATTTGTAAGCGGGCCAGATATTTGTTGATACTCACAGACCCAAGTTGACAGTGGGAAGCTGCGTTTACTTCGAATGGGATGAGTACATTATTGGTGTAGTTGTGGGAGATAATAGAGGAGGGAGAGAGTCGCTAGTTTGATGAGTGAGTCGTACCCGGGGGTGGGGGGGGGGCGAACAAAACCTTCTTTTTATCCAGTTGTGACACTGTTGACAACGATGTTTCCGGAATGGGCAGAACTTGGGGAAGTGTAAAGAGCCACATGAAGGACACGGCGTGGGAGGTTTGCGCTTGTTTTCGGTGCTGGAGTGGCGTGTTCTTGGTGGATCTGGGGACTTGCTGAAGGACACAATGTTCATGGTTCTGGAGGAGAGTGAAGTCAAGCTTAAGATTCCAGATTCTCTGGCAAACAGCGGTCAACATTCGCAGATTCGCGTTGGTATTCTGTTCGATTGTGGTCGGGAGACTGGTTCTGGTTTCGACGAACTGAGGGACTGGAGCCCACACAAATATCAGACAATTGAATTAGTCTTCCGTCATATAGCGTAACTTGAACTTCACACATGTCGATTGAAAAAGTCGGCATAGGTTTGTTTGACCAGTTTCGAGCTTCGTAACAAAGTGTGAAAAGAGAGTTATCCTCTAGACGAACCTCTCCGGAATTTGCTTGACCGTCTTGTGGAGCGTGGAATCTCTGGGGTATTTGGATCGGATAGTGTTCTTGTAGCGCTCATGTTCTTTGGCCAACAGTTTGTGTATGAGCCATTGGACTTTCGAATCGTCATGTTAATTAGCAAATTCAAATCAGAAGATATATTCCCATCGGGTGAATCGCCAGTCGAATGTAATGCCGGAGTATGGGAGGTAAATGAACTCGGTGGTACTCGCCACAGTCACCTCAACCGGCAGGGCCTGTCTGGTTCCGAAAGTGTTGGCTGACTGATGGTTGAGTGAGCGCAACACTGCTCCAAACAAAGACTACGGATGTTGCAGGATAGAGTATAGTTCGTCGTAGAGATGAAAATCATGGATCGAATAGAATACCTGTCACCAATTTGTTGCGTCGTGTGAGTCCACTCACAAATAACACACAAAACACCGATAACACACTGATACAGTAACATAGACACAGCATGTCCAAAACACGTGTCTACACAGCACCCCCCGCTTAACATTTGGACATAAATTGTTATTTATTAGTCTAGAGATGCATCACCGTGAAATGGGCTTGTTCGCTACTGCGCGTTTCTTACAGTGTATAATGCTGGTATATTCGGATAAGTCTCTATACTCCTTCATACAAACGGGCAGCAAAACACCGCATGAAAGTGCGAAAGTGGCTTTATATAAACTGAAACGGAGGGGCGACTGGACAGCATAAACAATAGTCATGTTATGTGTGCCACAAGCGTTCTGATCACGGAATGCAAGACTATTAAAAATGATACGGATGTTTAATTTTAACTTTAGAACAACTAAAATACCTTTAGAAGGAGTGAATAACTTAGATGACTCAGATAGTATTCCCATGAACTCCTTCTCTCATTATGGGCTAATTAGACCGTTTATCAATATTTTTGGTGAGTACAGAATACTTTTACAACACACGTATTGTCAAAACAATAACCTAAGCATTAAGCTCTGCGGCAACAAATTATCCACGGTTGAGCACGGAGCGAACAAACCGCTGGATTGTAGAATTACTACTGAACGTCATTCACATTCAGTTGGTTTGGATGAGATGAAGTAAGTAGTATTTGCTATACAACACAGGTGGAACGATTGTACAGCTGGACTTAGACCTGACCGGGTCACGGTCTAAAGGGACAAAAGTGTGTCGGGGGGGGTGGTGTTCGTTTGTAAATTGGGTTAGTACAGAACACTGAGAGTTTGGTTGCCAAAACATCCATGACCACAGTTGTATGCATCGGTGAGATTCAAACAGGTGTATCCACATAAAATGGGCCAATTTCCTCTCTCCATCCTATCTCGGTCTGTGCAGTTGAAACCGAACGGTTGATTGTGGATAGCGCAAGGGAGATGTTTTGGTTTCATGGGGATCGTGGTTCCCGGGATACCCGTCTCGGTTGGTTAGAATACCACGTCTCAGGCCAAAATAACAGCCAGTCATATACGGATCAGTTGAGTTCACGAAACGATTCCTCACGAGCATGGGAGCTGTAATTCCCGAACACCGTGCCGTGGACCGTACATTACTCGGACAATAGTTTGACAATTGCGGTCCGGCGTGAGAAGAGCATCGAGTAGAATTTGAAGAAGAACTGACACTTGAGTGACAACAAGTATCCACGGATTCTTCGGTTTCACTAGTGCTGGTGTCCGAGGAATTATTGGAGGACAGGCTACATGAACGGGATGAGTTGCATTCGATACAGTCCGTATTCGAAGAAGACCAGTCTGATTCGGGATGTACAACCTCACAGGCACGGCAACTGACGGAAAATGGAGGAGCAGGATACGAAGGTACAGGATAAGTAGGAAAAATGGGAGGAATGTAAAAAGTGGGCAACGAGTATGGTAGCTGAATCGGATTTGGAAAAGTATAACAACTATATATCGGAACAGGTAATGATGTACGCCATAGCGGAGAATGGCCTGTTGGATCTACATGGCCAACTCGTGCCACTTGTATCGACCCTCGGGATTTATTTGTATTTATTCCCGTTGAAAAATTCTCCACGCTACTTGTTTGGACTCCGTGATCTTTTGACTGTTTTATCGAAGGCATGGAATCGTTCTGCACAATCGTATTCGGTTCATCTCCAGTTTTCACAGGAAGAGTTGACAAATTATCCGGTGTTTTTTGAACTTCATTATGCGCGGTTTTAGGCCCCGATTTGCATAATTTACTTGATTCAGTTTCATCCCTCTCCTGACTATCACCAATACCCCGGGGCGTTGTAGGTTTATCGATCAGTAATTGCTTTATTTGTGCCGATTGTTGTGGACTTGTGCGAACTGATCTTGCTTTTCGCTCAGCAACTGCTTGTTCCGTCATAGCCAGGATAGATTTCATATCTGCCTGTGTTTTTTCCTCTAAACGCCGCCGTCGTTGTTCTCGACACCGTTCCAATGCTGTCATAGGTTGTGAACTCTGTTTTCCCTCTTCTTTTGAAGTTGAGTTTGCCCCTGGAATTTTAGCTAGCTTCTCTGGGGTCTGTGTAACTCCGACAGACGTCGGTGGTTGCATAACAATCCCAGTTGACCTTTCATCATTTTTGTTGGATGTTTCAGTTACTTTTTTACTATTCTGATTTGGAAGACGCCGCAACTCGTTCCATATTCGTCTTTCATCTTCCAAACGTTTCTTCTCTCGTTTGGCTGTCATGTGATGTTCAACTAAGCTCATTTGGTTATCTTCCTCAGGCCCGGGTAAAGCAAATTCCGTTGGTTTCGTCCCGCTATTAGTATGCATCAGCTCCGCCAAAGACCGATTCGGAAGAGATGTAATAAAATGAAACTTCGGATTTGATTTGTTACACATTTCTTCGTAGGATAATTGAGTAAGATCGATATGGTTAGACTGGCATGGACTGTTCATCATTCGCTCATCCGGTCCCCAATCTTGACTATTGTTATTGCGATCTACCGGTATATGATGATGCTTGGATTTACACATTCCTTCGCCTCTTTTATGTTGACTGGATCGATTCACATTTGGACATTGATTGGAAATACTATCTCGAGAGGTGACGTCCATTTGTACGTGTCTAGTTGTGGACTGCTGTGTGTGATGTTGTCTCGGACAAGGGTGATGCGATCTTGTCTGTTCGACCGGAATTGCTCGACCAGGGACTGTCCGATGTGGATATTCCCGGTTAATGAGGGATTCAGTTAGACACATGTCTGTACCCGATCTGTTGCTCAGATCACGAGGGATGTTTTCGCATGTGCGTACAATCGTTGTTCGATGCCGAGTTGACGAACTCGTGTGAGACTGTCTAACCACATTCCCGCTATCCGCAATCAGCATTTGCCTTCGGCAAGTTGAACTGGATTTTCGATTCGTTGGCCGTTGGTCAAATTGTTCCCTTTGATGAGCACGATGTGGTCCGTGATGAACATGAGATTTTCGATTCACCAGATGATGACTATCCTTGGCTGCCTCTGTTTTGTGTTCTATCATGTTCGGTACGTTTATAGGCATCGCATCTGAATCTGGTGGCGAACAAGGAACAAATTCGGCAGCGACAAGCTTAGCCTCCTTCAACACACGTTTCGGTTGAACAAAATTCACATACTCGATGGATTTTTGTGAACGATATGTACCGGATTCGGCACTGTGCGCGGTTGTAGCAACGCAGCCGTTGGAATGCGAGTTTCGATGCACAGCATCCTGCGAACCAGCAGTGTCTTGTTCGATATAAGCAATGCGGTAATAGCGCCGCAGATCATGATTTTCTTTGCTTGTTTTAGTATTGTCTTCTTGAACCACAGTGGGCGAGGTTGAACTGGACGAATGACTGGTTTGTTGTGAGTAACAGACAACGTCCATTTGAGCCGGAGGACTTAAATCCAGCGCTTTGCTTGCTTTCTCTGGAGCAACATTCTGCGGAGTTTGCACAGTAACCTCTGAGAAATAGTGACGACATCCGTCACCTTGATTAGAACATAGAAATGACGGCTTGCGAATTGAAATAGTATCAACATGACTGAACCCAATAGTCCGATTTTTGGATATCGTATTCGGGTAACTAGATTCGTCCGACTGCTTTGAATAGTGCTCGGTGACCAACGTGTATTCTTCCGGTGAAATCAGACGACATGAGAGCTTTTGTGATTGGTAGGCAGATATTGGTGGTGAGACACAGACGCTAGCTACGGAACTTGGCCGATTTTCAGAACTAGACAACTTATGGTTAAGTGAATGTCGTTGTGTAATTGAATAGTCTTGCTTCGGTGTCGTATCAATCTTTCTATGTTCAGTTTGTACCATTGGATTCGGTTGTTCCGATTCAAGTCGCGGCCGTTCAGCGGACTGCTTTGTGGAAGCGATTTTCACAGTCTGAGTTGGTCGCTCCGAGCACTGTGGGATTTCTACCGTTCTGTGTCCCTCAATCCACTGCGTTATATTCGACAAAACTTGTTGTTGACTTTCCAACGATCGAGTCATTAGGTCTATTCGGGTGTTTATCTCAACTAGACGGTGTTGAACATTGGCAAATTCTTTATTCACGATTTCCATTTCATGATTGTGTTGGTTTATCAACTGCATTATTATTTGATGCACTCTCGTTAGGGATTTCGAGGCACGAAGCAGCGTGCGTCTGCCCAGTATGCGACATTGATTTCTTACGATGGGCATGTGTAACCGAACCTTAGGACGCTTAGATTGAGCTTTTGGTGAGGTCGAGTTTATCGGAGATTGAGATATTTTAGACTTTTTCGTTGAGATTGTTTCAACTGGCGATAGCGGTAGATGAGTGGCTGAATTGGTTTGAGGGCTGGAGGCGGATATTGCAGATGTTCGTTGATCTTCAGTCCCCGAACTATCCTGGGTAATATCGATCCGGGAGAACGAGCTTCGTGTTAACTCTCCATCGTCACCGGCATTGGTTTTCACACAGCCAAAAAGTGTCACTATCAAATCGCGCGAACACCATCGTCTGGAACGCTTCCCGGTGGTGTTGGGAGAATGAGACAACGTGCACCTCATGCGTCGGGGTTCTTGTTTGTGCCAAGTCATTTGGGATAGATATGTCGATTGCTTCATGTTCGATGAGGCACATGCAGCTTTGGTTGGTGAACTTCCACCCTCAAACGGGTATCTTAACTTTACCATGGATGAATTGATTTCTTCCTCTATTGTTAGGGAAGGACTGGTATAAGGACTCAGCTCATCGAAATTTGCGTCCGTGGTCTTAGTTCCATTTGGTTTGATTGATGATGGAAAAGCTGCAAGTTTCGTTACTAGGGGTGGTTGAACTACAGCTATGGCTGGCTGATTCTCTTCGGTGATTTCAAGTTTTGAGAGCATTTGATCGTCTGGTTCAATCACCGGTTGCAACTGAATGTGCGATTCATATGTAGTCATCCAGTCAATTTTGGCTTCAGTGACGTTCTCCCGGGTCACAGCACGACTTACATTCAAACTTTGTGAGGCACAGGACTCACGATCACTGAGTATGTGTTTTTCTGACCGATGGCAATTACGGGGAGCGCCTAACTGTTCACTAACTGGGGAGCAGACATTGTACAATTTATGACAGTCTTCTTTCAGGCCAATATTGCCTTTCCCGCGGTTATTGTGCTCAGTCAGTTGTTCGAAATGATTCCTCTCACGAGATGCAGACTTCAAATTGGCTGAACCTGACGAGATCACTGGCGGATGTAAGACAGTTTCCGCCGTGCCAGTGTTTTGATGCAATAACCACGGGCGGATGACATATTGTGAGTAATCACTATCTCCGGATGGATTCACAAGATCGTCTTTGCTGAACATTTGTCGCAACTGTTGTGGTGATGAAGATACAATCGGACAAGTCGCTTGTGAATTCCGTGTAGATCTTTTCACTGCTCCAACACGTAACGCGTATGCGCGATTCGTTCTTGTATGTGACCGTGCACTAGTCCGTTTATTCTGAGGTATAGATGATGTTTCACATTGTTTCCCAGATACTTCACTCAGAGACAATGTGGTTAGCTGGGAAATTCTATGAATCGCAGAACACGAATTGAGATCCATAACCGATATTAGAAATTCACTTCCTTGGATGGTCTTAATCGGTTACACAGGCTACAAGTTCCTTGAAAAAGTCCTAAGGACACCGTTAAACTAAACAAAGTTTCATCAAAACAAAATCGATTATTTGAAAGCGAATCGTTCTGAACCGCTTTAGTCACATGACTCAGACGAAGGATCATCACATGACCTAGGCGGGAAAGGACGCGCTTCTCTGTCGTCCGGTTTCGGACAAAACAATCGGTGCGGTGAGGAGAATATACGAGAGTTCGATTGCAACAATAATACCGTTGTTTCGGTTGCCAGGTCTTTCAGGACAAGGATTACTACCCTGACAAGCAGAAATTCAGTTGGCACTGCCTATTTGAAGTGTGGATCCATCACAAATAAAGTGATATTACTTTCCTATTGGGCTAACTGAGTGTTGCTACTGTTTCGTTTGCTGAGTGGTGTTTCGGTTGGATTTCTTTTTAATCGCCCGAACGATGTGTGATTTATGATTTTATACGACCAAAGTGTATTTCAAACACTCAACTACGTCACGTTAAAATGCCGGGAACACCATTCACCGATCATTTCGACCAACGGAAAGTTTTTGACCAGTTCATCAATTTGTTTTGCGCAACGGATGGGGAGTGAGTCGGGAATAGATGGATCGTTATAACCTTTGAAAAATGGAATCGCTTCGACAGATTTCCTTACGCTGTGACGACCTATTATTATTGCAAGTCTGTTTGAGATATTTCGCTGATAAGTTGGCAAGTTGGTGCACTAATGTGTGCCGGGACGGAACGACTCGTGGGGTCTTGGATTTAAACTCTCTTTGGGAACAGCAGCCACTTATTGGTCATTATACTCAACAAGTTCGAACAGGTCTCCTTCGTTCTAAACACGACAACCTCCGTGGTCGAGACCATTTATATGTCAATTATCTGAGTGCGATTTGGCTCACGCGAATGTCTACTTGATGAACTTATGTCCGTCAATATTCTGCCTAACATGCTATGCCTAGACAGTTGAATTTACACAATATCACACGATAGTGGCCCACTAAAAACGATGATCAGTTCTTAGACACTCGCGTTCGAATAAACAGGAGGACCTACAGACCAGCTCGGATATCAGATTTGTTTTCTTTAGCTCTGCTGATAACATTTTCCGTGCCAGAACACTGTTGTTTCATGAGTATGTTTTATACAACAGGGATTCAGACCTGATTGTTTGTGCTATGTCGAATAGAATACTGTTCAACCGATCTGAGTGAATGTGAGCACAGCCGGGGAAAGAACATGGAAAAGTTATCCATCAAGGGGTTCTGAACAAGTATCTAATAGAATTGTGAAAAAATAATTGATTTGTAAAATGCGGATGATGAAAAAAAGAGATTGAAATATGACTGTACAGTCTGTTTACCAAAGGAACATGACTAAATGCTATTGATGTGAGATTATAAGACCTAGCAGAACATGCTTTCAGAGACCGGGTTGTATGTGTGAACCGGTTCGGATAACGCGAGAGAAGATGGGCAGAAATCACACTGTTCATCATCATCACTGTCAGAGTGGGAAGTGCATAAAACGAGGATCGAATAGTGGAAAGTAACAGATCCCAGAGTGGGAGTCTGCGAAACAAAAGAGATGCGATCCGACAGTTCTCAGCTGAAGAAATAGGTTGAGTCGCGTACCTCGTTCAGATCAAATGTACCTGGAAAAAAGTGGGCGATGGGAAGGAGATATGCAAGAGTGATGAAAGTCACAGTTTACAGTACAATTCATGGGAACACAAAATCTCGGCGCGCCTTTCGATTGGCTGCGCTACACTCTCGTGCTTGTTCATCACGATGGAATTTATCGTTTAACTCATCTATACAACGGTGCTAATCATGACCAGGATCTACAAATATTCTCTTCACGACATGTTACGACTAAAAACTGTGTATTCTGTGCTACCCACTGATTATTTGTTTGGTGAGAGTCATAAAAGCCCTTTGATCAAAAAAGCCGACCGGTCGGATGGCGGACTGCACTTAATCGCACATCTCCTGCCAAGATGTCTGTGCCACC